GTCAAGAACCATGACACATGCAAAGTTTATGTTACCTTAAGAATCAAAAAGGCACGACTGTCTGTATCACCTCCTAGAAGTATCCTTGGCTCAAGTCAAGACAGGAATATCAATACATGAGATAATCCAATGTGTTTGTTTTGGGTCAGAACTGCAGTTTTGTTTAAGTAAAATCAAAATAGTAACCAAGAAGAAAGAAGAATCAATCTAAAATACAGAGATAGGAATAATGGTAAAAGGGGCAGCAAAATCAGAAACCTGGGGAAGACAGAACGCTGATTTTGTATGGAGTGCCAAGCACATGGAGGTATGGGGCAGGACCTGGTGTTGCAAGAAGCTATGACAGGCTGGCTGCAACTTTTACATGTCTCATCCTTTGGTGCTAACTATCAAAGCAATCATATATAAAGTACTTTAGTATTACAAAGTCCTGAAAATCATTCTTTCCTATATCATTAATTCCACGTGCCACAGTTCAATGGTTATAGGAAACAAATTTGCATGAATAGCCTTATTCAGGTCCAACTGAAAGCCTTTATAGCTTTAAGTTCTACATTACTTAAATCATTATTTTTGCATTTCTTATAAGATAAGATAAGGAAATGGCTATTTCACCCTCAATGAAACGTCCAAATATGGTCACTACTTCTCAAAGAGCTTTTGGTTTAAGTCTAAGGATGAGGGGAATTTTCCATTGCTAGCAAACTCTAAGCAAAGGCTATTTTCAAATATCATGTTACTTACTTCTACAACTCAGTAAACTTTTGTTTAATAACTAAAATCTACTAGGGAACTTGTGTAGTATGTACATATTGGTTATTTTAGACCTAAAATCAATCAAAATAAGTTTTATATAAAAAATGAGAGAACAAAAATTCCTCAAAGTAATAAATTCCTTAGATGAGGACTTGACCAATCTAACTGAAAATCAACCTTGATATTAGCTCTTCTTTCATCTCAAATATTGTAAACTTCACCTAAAAGTGCTTTATACTTCATTGGTAAAATTGGTAAAAGCTTCCAATACAAATACAGGCAGATTAATCTGAGGAGGCGCTAACAATAATTGCTCTGAAAACAGATGCTAAAAGATATAATCTCAGCATTGGGAAGATCTTAGAAATCAACTGTCCCCTCCACCACTCCAGAACAGTTTTTCTCCTTCACATCTCAAGAGATGATCACTCCAATTCGTACACAGTAATGGAGAACTCACTGTCTTAAGAAGCAGCCCAGCCTATTTTCACACCAATGTGATTGTAAGCAATGTATTCATTATAGTGCTCATTAAGAGCAGAAATCACTCTCTGTAACTTCTCTCCACTGATCTAGCTATGTCTTTCTGTAACTCTAAATCTCCAGCCCCTTAGTACTTGAAAGCAATTCACATGACAGAAACTTGGAATAATAAAGCCGCAAAATTTATAGTATGACCTCTCCTACTACATGTGCTAAAAAGGCTTGTATATGTACTTTTCTTCTCTCTAAATCTACCTCAACTGGTACGAAGCTAGAGGATGGAACTGTTTAATGATGGTGTAGGGTAGGGAAGTAGGAGGGATCTGGCTTATTCCAAACCAACTTGGAGAATTGAAAGAGCAGCAAGAAGGCAATTGTGCTAGAACAAAATGAGTAAGACAGAATGGTAGGAGATAAAGTCAGCAAGCAGAACACGCAGGGTCTGGTAAAACAAGGTGAGACTTGGGGTTTTATACTGAGTGTGATGGGTAGCCACTAAAGGGTTCTAAACAGGGGAACCACAGAGATTGTTTAACATTAAAAAAAAAGAAAAACACTTTTGCTCCTAGATGGAAACCTGACTGGAGAGGTACAAGGAGGAGATAAGGAAGGCCAGTTATTATTATCACCTAGGAACTTATAATGGTGATTATAAGTTATATTCAAGTAGTAGTGGTGGGGTGGTGGCAGTAAGGGGGGATCTGGGATATATTTTGAAAGGAAGGCATATAAGCCTTACTGATGGACTGGATGTGGGTTAAGAAGAAAAGAGAAAAGTCCAAGATAACTTCTAGTTTTGGGCGTGAGCAACTGGGTGGACCATTTACTGAAATGAAGGAGGAGGCAGGAACAGGTTTTGGGAGGAGAGTTCAAGAGCTCTATTTTAAACATGTAAAGTTTGATATGTTTATTAGACTTTCAAATAGAGATGTTGATTAGGCAGACATAGACATGACCCTTGAATACATGGGAAAGATCAAGGCAAATAAATAAATTTGGGAGGATAGGTATCACTTAAAGCAAAGGATTACATGAGATCACATAGAGAATAAATGTAGAAGGTGGCTAAGGACTGGGCCCTGAAGAATGCCGCCTTTTGGAGACCATGAAGAAGAAGAGATAGCATGGGAGATTTTGAAATTCTATGTGCATTTTATGCTTTCAAGTGTAAGAGGGACTAGAGATTTTGAACTATAGAACGACATAGCTAGATGGAGAAGTTAGAGAGAGATTTCTGCTCAGAGTAGTAAGCACTATAATGAATAAGTTGTTAACTTATTCTTCCTCAAAAAGCAGTTGAAATTATTTTATATCTACAAACTACAAAGTCCACAGCCAGCCATCATAATCTTCTTTAAACACCATCTCTCAAAGTCATGTGCCTATTCTATTTCTGACTCCTGCCTATTAACTGAGTCTGGATAGCTGCATTTCATGTGTCAGCTGCTCAATTATTCCATCCCTAGCCTCTGGCATGTGTCCCAGCTTCTGGATCCAAATTCTCACCCCAACTAACAACTTCTAGTTGCCCAACACTGACCAGGAGACAAACTGAGATCATATTCCCCAGAGCTGCCAAAAGTTCTTGGCATATGATCAATGAAGCACACAATAAGTAAGTGGTTAGCAATTAATCAGGTGACAGAGAACAACTGACATGTTAGGGAGCTGCCGAATGAGCCAGATCAAGGCCAGAACAGAGAACCGGAGATTGTACTCCAGGCTAGTTACCCCAGGGAAAAATCTGCTCTAGGTTACCCAGTGTGACCAGACATCCTTTTACCCAGAAGAACTACAGTAATCTGAAGTTTACCATGTGTCCAAGGATTCAGGATTTCCTGGAAGCTGGTAACATTATGAATCAAACTGTAGGTACAGCCACCAAGGGCACTTGTTCTTTCTGCCCCATACCCTAAGGGGTTAGCCTGAAGACATCTGTTACTCTCTCAGCCTCATCTGTAAACTATCTCATAGTGTTTGTGAAGATTAAATGAGATCATTGTAAATAAAGTGCCTGGTACATGGAAAGCGCTCAATACGTATTAGCTATTCTCATTTATACTTTAGATGACCACAAAATGACAGTCAGTCAGCTGAATGATAAATCATATCTCTAAAAGCAACACTTTTAATGCTCTCCTAGCACAGGAGAATGACAAAAAGGGGTTTTTTTTGGTTTTTTAATATGTAAACTGGTATGTAATCAATAACATTTAAACTTGTCCTGAAAAAACTCTCCTCCATTTTTCTAAACTTCTTTACCAAGGTTGGCACAGTTATGTTACAAAACTAAGATGTAAATATGTAAATTCTATTAACATGAGATTGATAACAACAATTCTGGATAAATATCAAGCAAAACAGAACTTTCCAAGCCTAACAATTATTCTGTAAGACTCATTCAGGTCCTGGTCTCTTGTTTTAAATGTCTATATCCTTTCAGTATAATGTATTTCTATTTTCCTTTATGGAATTTAAGTTTAAAATAATTAAAGTTGGCGATAGAAGCAGAAAAACATTTATAAGGCCAACATGGCTATTTTACTTTTGTTAATGAAAAGTTATGTAATAGTTTCAGAGCTCCCTTCTTATACTCTTTTAATATTTATAGAAATTTAAAAGAGTTATACTGCTAGAGTTCATTTTGGAAACTGAGAATTTCTATTATCTGATAGCAATAAATTATTTTAGCTCAATTACAGAAATGGTTATTTAAAAGTTATGTTCATCTTTATTCATACCCTTTAACAACAAGTCATTGGTATCTAGTACTTGTACCAGAAGCTCAAGTAAGTGTGACTGAACAAAACTACACTAAGAGGATCTCACCTCCAAACCACTGAGTCACATCACTAGTCTTTTTGCCTCTAATAGTACATTAAAAAAAAAGCAGTTCTGGGAACTATTTAAAAGGCCTGCTTGTGTTAACAGAAAGTGCTGCACTAAGCTACCGAAGAACACACAAGTACCTTGAAGGACCCAGAGCAAACCTATAGCCAAGTACAAGGAGATGCCCATGGACACCATGCCAGTAATAAATATATGCAAAAAATAAAATCCCACACCTGTTATGAACTGAAAAGTGAAACCTATAGTTGCATATTTCCCTACATCGATACTTCATGGAATTTGGATTTTTTCAAAGATAATAATTTTTATTTTTCAAACTATTACACAGAAAAGTCACGTCTGAACTATAATTTTAAATCAATAAACCTTGATTTTTTTTTGCTTTAAATAAGTTTTTGTTTTGGAATAATTTTCGATTTACAGAAAAGTTGCAAAGATACTACAGAGTACCTATATACCCTTCACCCAGTTTTACCTACATTTAACATCTTACATAACCACAGCTCTGTCAAAACTAAGAAACTAACATTGGTACATTGCTATTAACTAACCTACAGACTTTATTTGGATTTAACCTGTTTACTCCCTAATGCCTTTTTTCAGTTCTAAGATCCAATCCAGGGTACCACATAACATTCAATGACTTTTTTTTAGTGCTTTAAGTTGTAGAACATGCTAAACTTGTGTGTGTGATTAGCAATGCCCTCATTATAAAAATACAGCTCCTTCGAAAATGTGATTTATTGGATATTAGGAAAATGTTACATTAAGATTCATGTAAACATGACATTTCTATTAATGTTTAAGGAGAAAAGAGGTAAATCTCTAAAGTAAGATATGTGCCAGGGACTTATTAGATCAAATTATTTAATGTTTCAGAAATATTTCTTCTAAAAATGCTTGTCACTTACCTATCTCTCAAGGTTCCAGTAAAAGGTCATAGATAAATGGTAAGTCCTTTTTATTAATCCTGTAATAAAATATAAAGTATTATTATAATCATATTCAGATAATCCATTTTTATCAAATATATATAAAAGCTGCTGTGCTTTCACTCCCAAATTTCATTTTTAATTACTATATATTCTTTTTATTGGGATATAAGAACTAATTTAAGGGAAAATAATTCCATAAATAAATTATATGTCTTTATTTAAAAATAAAGGCATGCAACCAAGATACCAACAGCATATTTCACAGAACCAGAACAAATATTCCAAAAATGTATATGGAACAACAAAAGACCCCAAATAGCCACAGCAAAGTGGGAGGAATCACACTACCTGATATCAAACTATATTACCAGACCACAGTAATCAAAACAGCATGGCACTGACATAAAAACAGACACATAGATCAATGGAACAGAATAGAGCCCAAGAATAAGCCCACATCTTTATAGAGAATTAATATTTGACAAAGGAGGGAAAAATATACAATGGGATAAAGACAGTCTATTCAGCAAATGATGCTGGGAAAATTGGACAATTACATGCAAAAAAATGAAACTGGACCATCTTCTTATACCATACATAAGAATAAACTCAAATGGATTAAAGGCTTAAATGTTAGACTCAAAACCATAAAACTTCTAGAAGAAAACATAGGCAGTAAAATCTCTGACATTTCTCATAGCAATATTTTTTCTGATATATCTCCTTGGGCAAGAGAAACAAAAGAAAAAAATTAACAAATGGGACTACATCAAACTAAAAAGTTTTTGCACTGCAAAAGAAACCAATAAAATGAAAAGACAAACCACACAATGGAAGAACATATTTGCTGATACATATGATAAAGAGTTAATATCCAAAATTTATAAATAACTTATAAAACTAAACACCAAAAACCCCCCAAACAATCCAAATAAAAAATGGGCAAAGGACCTGAATAAACACTTCTCTAAAGAGGGTATACAGATGGCCAACAGACATATGAAAATATACTGTGTCACTTATCACCAGAGAAATGCAAATTAAAACCATAATGAGGTATCACCTCACACCTATCAGAGTAAGTATTACCAATAAATCAACAAGCAACAAGTTTTAGCGAGGATGTGGAGAAAAGGGGACTCTTGTACACTGTTGGTGGGAATGCAGATTGATGCAGCTACTGTGAAAAGCAGTATGGAATTATCTTAAAAAATTAAAAATGGAACTGCTTTATGACTCAGTGATTCCACAACTGGGAATTTATCTAAAGAAATCTGAAAGACTAATTGGAAAGAATATATGCACCCCTATGTTCATTGCAGAGTTATTTACAATAGCCCAAATTTGGAAGCAGCCCAAGTGTTCATCAGTAGATAAGTGGATAAGAAGCTATGGTACATTTATATAATGGAATACCATTGTCTATAAAAAGAAGGAAATCTTACCTTTTTCAACAGCATGGATGCACCTGAAGAGTATTATGCTAAGTGAAATAAGCCAGTCAGAGGAAGACAAATACCATATGATTGCACTCATATGTGGAAACAAAATCATCTAACAAGCAAAATAGAGATAGATTCAAAGATAGAAAGCAGGCTGACAGCTGTTGGGGGTGGGAGGCTGGAGAGGAAGGCATTGGAGGGATTGAGGGGAAAAAAAGAAAAAACTCATGGACACAGACAACGTGGTGATTGCCAGTGGGGGGAGGGGCAAGGTGGAGGAGGGTATGGGGCAATCAATGGTGATGGAAGGAGACTTGACTTGACAGACGATGTGGAATTGTACACCTGAAACTTGTATAATTTTGTTAACCAGTGTCACCCCCATGAATTCAATAAAAAGGAAAACAAAAAATGAAAAGACAAGCTAACAAACAGGAGAAAATATCTGCAAATTCTGATAAAAGACATATCTAGAAATAATTAATTAATATAAAGGCATGCAAAATTTAATATGTTTTAAGATAAATAGAAAATGTTATGAAAAAAAGGCCACAATGAATAAAAACTAAGAAGAATGCTTCACATTCTTTTCCACATGCATAATGCTGTGAAAATTACTAAACAGTCATAAACAAGTGAATCATATTGAGAGCACAGTGTTTTTGAGGGGAAACAGTAATTAAGAGTTTGGGGTTAGGAAATTTTTGAAAAAAAGTGTCTGGTAAAGTGTCTTTGTGTAACAGTTTGCCTAAGACAGTACCAAATTATGCTCACTGTCCCAACCATTTTATTATTTGTCCTGGATTTTCCATTTTCTAAAGACTATTTTTTAGAGTAGCATTATAATAAGCCAGGACTTTTACTTTCAGGCTCTGCCATAATCTCACTGAGCAGTGTGAGGTGCACATGCAGTGAACCCAGTGCCATTAAACATGTGATTAAATGTGAAAGGCCCTGAGCTGTAGCCCACCTCTGGATGGGCTGTAACTGACACTTCATCCTCAAAGAGCATCCAAGCCACTTACAGAAAAAGTGGAGTTCAGGAATAGCTAGGGACAGCTGACTCCTTCGGTCTTAAGTGAAGGGTGGAAGAAATATTCAGTGCTGCTGCCCCTGCTTATGACTAGCTTGATTACACCAATTAAGAAAGGCATATGGAGAAATTTTTTTTAAATATTACACTATAAAGCATGACTTTCCAATTAGAGCAAATGGCTGTCCTTTAAACACATATGCATAACCCACAGACACAGACAAGAGTATGGTGATGGCCAGAGGAAAGGGGGCAAGAGGGCTGGGTGGAGGTGAGCAAAGGGAGGGGAAATGGGGACATCTGTAATAGTGTCAACAATAAAAAAAAAAAAAAAAAGACTGTACTTTACATTTATCTTAGTCAGTTATGATTACAAATTATCTTACTTAAACAAAGTTAAGTGACAGCAGTTATTTTGTGGCTCTCTTAGCAGAAGAAATTCACACTTAAATGATGCTAGCTTCCTATCAGTGTCCAGAGATATATCAACTGAAAAATTAGTTAATTCCAATAATGGTTTGATTGTTTTCATGTAACCATGCAATAAAAGTAAAGCTTTTGGAAGTTCATTCTGTAGAAACATGAAACACCAGACATTGCTGTAACTGCTATTTAAACTCAGTAAAAATGTTCAACAACAAAGATAAAATTATAGTTAGTTTTCATTATTCAAAGTAATTAAGCTCTATAAAGCCACCATGAACACTGAATTTGTGAAAACCAAATCATTTCTCTCAGTGGAAATACAGTTAGGCTCCTGTGAGCCTTTGCCCACAACAATTTCATAAACTAATCAAGCATAACCTTGTTTTAAGTGTATTGCTGCTTAAAGACACTTTAATATAAATAGTTGAGTCACTAACATTGAACTCACAGTCAATAGTATTAACTCATACCTGAATGAAGCTTCTTTTTGTTAAATTTATTGTTGACAGTATTACAGATGTCCCTCATTTCCCCCCATTTTGTCCCCCCTCCACCCAGCCCCAACCCCACACCAGGCCTTCCCCACACTATTTTCAGTGTCCATAGGCTATGCATATATGGACATAAGTTCTTTAGTTAATCTCTTCCCATGCCGCCCATACCCCTCTCCTCTGAGATCTGTCAGTCTGCTCCATGCATCTGTCTCTGGAAATATGTCTGTCAGTTTATTTTATTCATTAGATGCCTCATATAAGTGAGATCATATGGTATTTGTCTTTCTCTGACTGCCTTATTTCACTGAGCATAGTAATCTCCAGGTCCCTCCATGATGCCTCAAAAGGTAAGAGATCCTTCATTTTCACAGCTGCATAGTATTCCATTGTGTAAATGTACCACGGCTTTTTTATCCACTCATCTACTGATGGGCACTTGGGCTGTTTTCAGATTTTACCTATTGTAAATAACACTGCTGTGAGCACAGGGGCGCACATATTCTTTTTGATTGGTGTTTTGGGATACTTAGGATATGGAACTCTGGATCAAACAGCAGTTCCATTAATTTTTTGAGGAAACTCCATACTGTTTTTCACAGTGACTGCACCAGTCCGCATTTCCCCCAGCAGTGTACTAGGGTTCCCTTTTTACCACATCCTCACAACACTTGCCGTTTGTTGATTTTTTGATGGTAGCCATTCTGACAGGTGTGAGGTGATACTTCCTTGCAGTTTTGATTTGCATTTCCCCGATGATTAGTGATATTGAACACTGTATCATATGTCTATTGGCTTTCTATATATCCTCTTTGGAGAAGTGTCTATTCAGGTCCTTTGCCTATTTTTTCATTGGGTTATTTGTCTTCCTGGTGTTGAGTTGTATGAGTTCTTTATATACTTTTAAAATTAACCCCTTATCAGATGTATCATTGGCATTAACCCCTTATCAGATGTATCACTGGCATTTATGTTCTCCCATATAGTGGGTTCCCTTTTCATTTTGTTGATGGTTTCTTTTACTGTGCAGAAGCTTTCTAGTTTGATGTAATCCCATTTGTTTATTTTTTCCTTTGTTTCTCTTGCCCTAGGAGATGTATGGGCAAAAATACAGCTATGTGAGATGTCTGAGATTTCATTTCCTATGTTTTCTTCTAGGATTTTTATGGTTTCATGACTTATATTTAAGTATTTCATCCATTTTGAGCTTATTCTTGCATATGGTGTAAGTTGGTGGTCTAGTTTCATTTTTTGGCATGTACCTGTCCAATTTTCACACCACCACTTACTGAAAAGACTATCATTACTCCATTATATGCACTTTCCTCCCTTGTCAAATATTAATTGACCATAATGGCATGGGTTCTCTGTTCTATTCCATTGGTCTATATGCCTGTTCTTGTGCCAGTACCAGACTGTTTTGATTACAATGGCTTTGTAATATACTTTGATATTCGATATTATGATCCCTCCAACTTTGTTCTTCTTCTTCAAGTTTGCTGAGGCTATTTAGGGGCTTTTTTGGTTCCATATAAATTTTTAGAATATTTGTTTTGGATCTCTGAAACATGCCATTGGTATTTTAATAGGAATTGGATTGAATCTGTAGATTGTTTTGGGTAGTATGGACATTTTAATAATGG